TTAAGTTTCTCAGGATCCACATAAGAGTGAAACCATATGGTATCTGTCTTTCTCTGTATGGCTTATTTCACTTAGCATCACACTCTCCAGTTCCATCCATGTTGCTACAAAAGGCCATATTTCATTTTTTCTCATTGCCACGTAGTATTCCATTGTGTATATAAACCATAATTTCTTTATCCATTCATCAGTTGATGGACATTTAGGCTCTTTCCATAATTTGGCTATTGTTGAGAGTGCTGCTATGAACATTGGGGTACAAGTGCCCCTATGCATCAGTACTCCTGTGTCCCTTGGATAAATTCCTAGCAGTGCTATTGCTGGGTCATAGGGTAGGTCTATTTTTAATTTTCTGAGGAACCTCCACACTGCTTTCCAGAGCGGCTGCACCAATTTGCATTCCCACCAACAGTGCAAGAGGGTTCTAAGGGAACATTTTTAAATGGATAGGGATATTGTTTCCTAATTTTTAAGTGTGCAGTTATTAGTTTTCATAAATGACAGAAATACCATTTCCATGAACAAAACAACATAATGCAAGCAGTTTTAAGTTATCTAAGTATCTTAACTTAAGCATGCTTTTATATTTTAGGAAAATTTTCCTAAGGTCTTCTTTCATGTCTTTTCCCCAAAATTGTTTACTAAATTAGCTTAATAACTTCTCATTTATTTTTCTAGGCAGATTCTCCCATTCCTTGTCTGTTATCTCATCTTCAATTATGTTATCTGAACTAGAAATCTCCCTCTCTGGTCCTTTCTGGCTTTGAGAATCTACTCCAAATCACTTTAAAATTAGCATTCTAAAAATGGATTTCTTTAAAACCTTCCCCCCCAACCTACTTTTTTCCATTAAGACAATATCAACCTATTTCCCAAATATTTGTTAATGTAGTTGAAGCTTTCACCAAAACCTTCAAAAAACAAACTCAAACAATAGTTATCATTTACTAGAGTAACACACCTGGCAAGTGATTACTTAAATGAGAAGTATAAGGGTTCCTGGCATATCTGGGGACTGTAGACACAAGGTAAATAGGTGTTTTCATCCAAGGAGTATCCATGCATTATTTTTCATACATTCTTATTTTATATTTGCATTTATATAAACATTATATGTATTTATAACATATATTCTTAAAATATACATGTCATGTTTATATAATCCTTAGAACACTTCCTACCTAGAGAAGATCCCCAAATCAGGATTTTGTTGCATTGCAAGTTACTTTTTGTTATTCTCACACCACCAAAAGTGTCAACCCAGGATGCCTTTTCAGGCTAATTTTATAATTTTCCTCCTGAGAAACAGGGCTTCTCTTTTACTCAAGTGGACTGACAGCTTAATCTTTAGACCAATTTCAGTTTAATTCTATTCATTTAAACATCAAATACTATATTATTCAAATACTGTGTGTACTGCTTATAAAGTTATTTTAGAGAATGTGAATGATTGGAGTTCTATTTATTGTTTACCTTAATTAATGCAAAGATCCTCCAGTTATTGTGTCAAATGGTTTTGAAGAGCAGATTACTATTATTCCAGATAATGCTTTTTCTGTACTTTATAAATGCTTTTTATCAATACAATTTTCTCAGCTTTACTAGATAACAATATATTAATCCTCTCATTTTTGAAATAAATAGAAATAAGTAGATGTAACTACATCACATGCCTACTTATTCAAAAATAATTATTTTGTGCTTAAGTATCTCTAGTATATTGTTCTGAATGAAGGTAACTCAGGTCCACATTTTGTACTCATCACAATAGCATGCGAACAATGTATTGTGATGAGGAC